CCTGTTCAACCTCGGCTTGAAGATCTTCCGCTTCTTTGTCAACTTCACCTTCTGGGGCGTCCATATCTTTCAAGATCCCTTCATCATCTTCTGGAATTATGGAGCTATCCTTCACTACCTGACTTAGTCCAGAATAGATGGCAGCATCCAAAGCTTGAGGATCGGGGATAATCCTAACTTTAGCGGCTTGGTGGTCGTCGATCCCCTGCACCAACTCGGTTCTCTCGAGATTCTTTTCAGCGGCGGTAGCGATGAACTTCTCGGCATAGTCTACCACTTCCTTCTTAATCTGAGCCGGGGTCAACACTTCGAGACACTTCTCGACAGTAAAATCAGCAAGGGTGGAGATGAACACGTCGGCAAATTCTGCCCTCTTCTCTTTCTCCCCTTCCAGAACCATGTTAACATAGGCTTTTCGTAAAGCAGCCCTTCTGTTCGGGTCCAAAGGAGGATACCCACGAGCCGTCACGTCGGCGTCGGTTTTGGCTAAAACCAGCTCGCAGTAAGCACGTTCGTCATCATCGGCGGGGACATGAAGTTCTTCAATCTCAGGGTCGAACCCAAACCTGTCCATCTTCATAAGCATAATGGCCTTCAGGTCTCCAACACCATACAATCCTGAGTCGAATCTATCGATCACCCAACGGAGATTTAGGCAAGAGTTGAGCTCGATGTCCTTCTCCATCTCCTCTGAACCCCTGAACTCTTGTTTCCCGAGTTCCTTGCCTTCTTCCAACCCCTGTGCGAACTTCAGCTCACCAAAGGCTTCCTTCTGTTGCTCTAAATTTTTCAATTCGGAAGCATGGGCTTCCGCCAAACGGATCAGTCTCGCTTCCTTTTCAGCTCGGTCTTGACGAGTCTTCTGATGCTCCTCCCGAGTTCGCTGATGGTCCTCCATCTCCTTCTGGTAACGATTCAAATTATTCCGAGCTTACATCTCCGATGCGCCGATTTGTGCAGTAAGCTTGCGCACCTCGTCCTCCAAACGTTTCCTTTCGGTAGTCAAACTTTCCATCTCGGTTTTTGCTGCAACGAGTTGGGCATTCTTGTCTTCAATCTCGGTCATCAGGCTCGCCTTATCCGCCTCCAATGAAGCCAGTTGACCGTCACGAAGTTCCAGTTTATCTTTCCGCTCGTTGAGTGCAGCGGCATTCATCCTGAACTCGTCCTCCATCGCGCAAAGGCCCACCAAAGCTCTCCCCAATGTCGCTTTGGCATAACTGAACCTATAAGAGCTCGACAACCCAGATACTCGAGCTTCGGTCGCCGGATCCCAAGACATCATTGGAACCCGAGCTGCTTCTAATACATGGGGGGGCTGGTGAAATTTGTTGTTGAATTTGGGGACGATCATGGAATGGTACTGAGTAAACCACTTCTCCATCACGTCCTCCGGCAGATTCTGTTCCAAGATCCGCTCCTCATCAATTGGCAGATAAGTGTCTCCTCCATCCTGATGGACTGGAGCATTCCTTTCCAAGTCAAGTTGACCGACGTCCTGTCTAGACTTTGAACGACGTTCCTGATCAACGTCAAACTCCTCACTCGCTTTCCTCTTGTTCTTCTTCTTCTTCTTCTTTTTCTGTTGAGAAGAAGCTTCTTCCACTGTTTTCTGCACGGCCTCAACGTCCTCTGAGCTCGAAACAATGACATGGAGATCAGGACGAGCAGCTTCAGCCTCTTTCTCAACCTCCCGAGGTGGAGAATGAATAGCAACCACCAACTCGGTATTTGTCTCAGGGGGTGGCTCAACCACGGGCTCAATAACAGGGGCCGGTATTGCAACTGTAGCTGGTGTGCCCGACGTGACTCCAACATCGTCACCCGCCGCGGCACGACCTGAGATAGCCTTCTTCTTCAAGTTAGCCAAAAAATTCATGCGACCCATCTCGGTATCTTTCACTGAAAATCTACGGCGATAATCTTTTGCTTCTCGAACCGATTGGAATCCAAAAAATCCTAACAAAGGATAATAAACTGAAGAAAGAAAGCAAATAGTCAAAACCATATCAATGTGTGATAAACCTATCTAGTCCAAAGCCATGAATTGAATTGATGCTGTAAGAACTCACCAGGTTCAAAGTCGGGGATTGCCTTTTTGGGTCCGAGTTTCACTTCGGCAAGCTTGGCGTTCTTTGTCAGCAGATTCCACTTGCGATCCGCTACACTAAGTTTCGCGATCTCCTCAAGTTTTTCTCTAAACTCCCCGCTTAGTTTCGGTTCCCTTTTTCTTTTTGCTACAAATATGAAAAGGTCCGACCTGTTAGCGAAAGATAAACAACCTGTCAAGAAATTCTGAATAAAAGAAAGGAACTTACGGAAAGAAGAGACAACTCGGGTTGGGACAGTCATCCCGTCAATTGGGGCCTCAAGTCGGAAGTCGGGAGACTGCCAATCTCCACCAACCCACAACCATTCGTCCTGAAAGCCATGAAGGGTTTCGGGTATCCCAGTAACCAATTGTCCTATTTTCAATTCGTACTGCGGCCTCGCCGCACAGAAAAAACAACCTGTTGGAGGGACTCCATCTCGTTCCCTACTCCTCTTAAAGAACAGAATACTTCTCATCTCGTCGATGGTAGGGAAGGGAATTTTCTTTTGTGCTAAAAGGACCATAATCCCAATAATCTTTTTCCAGCTATTGGGAGTAATCTGGATGAGACTGAGACCCCAATCGCGCAGATAGTCGGTTATGACGTTGTCTAGAGGGAATCTCAGGCCCGACCTCAGACTTTCAGCAAAAATCCCTATGCAACCCGGAGGAGGACAGTGAATCCTTTCCCCCGGATAGGGAGCGAAAATCCTCACCGAGGTAGGGATTCGTACCCACTCACGGAGGAGAACAACGTCGGCGTCGGTCATGGTACTGGGTTCCCCCAAAAACGGAACATCTTCGTCGGGCCATTGACGGGCAGGACGATTCCAATAACCCGACCTCACAGGAATATCCCGTTCCACCTCGGCATCTCCTTCGATATCACGTTTGCGAATATCCAAACGTTCCACAAAAACAGGGTCCCACCGGTAATAATCTCCCATCAACTCCATTAACTCCTCATCCAACCTCTGGTCCGATATAGTTCGACTGCTGCTGCCCGGACCGACGTTCTCGCCACTCGCCGCCATAATTAAAACCCAGAAAAACGACACGAAGAAATTATAAAGCGAAAAGAAGAAATTAGGGCTTACCGAAAAGTGATGTAAACTCTCAAAGGTTTCGGGATTTGCTGAAATACTATGAAGAAGGTGAAAGAGGAAAGGCAAAATATGCAAAAGATGGTTTGAGGAAGCAGTTGCTTGAATGAAGATTTAGTGAATAGAAACCGTGAATTTATCCGTATATATACACTCGCAGTTTTCTAACCGTTGAAGATGGAGAGGCGCGTGGTTAAATGACGCGTCGATTCAGGGAAGTGCCCCTTTACTCTGACATAACGTTCAAATAAAATCTCGTACGTACGCGTGTCCCAAAACCGCCAACGTTAATGTCCGAAAATTACGGTACGTGCCCATTGAGTAGCGTATTGGAGACAACACGTTCATAACCTTTCGAAAAACGCTCAATAAATTTCTTACATCATGGAACAACTTGGATAAAGGAGCGAAAAGGCGTAAGTCTCGCCCAAGGGAAATACCTCGGCTTAAGCTTGTGTGGGAAATCCTTACCTTATCTCGGCAACCGGCAGTAATTAGAAAGAAAATGTCATTCAAAAGCATGCAAACTCTGCATACTTCTTAATGCCAGGGGCCTCTATGTTGATATCAAGATAGAATATCTTGATATTAAGATTAAATTAGAGAAATCGTGAAGTTTGATTCATAAATCGGATTCTGAACGACGTCAAATAGAACATATTGCACCTCGGTAATCTCACCTCGGAATCCGCAAATGATACCGCAGAACCTTCGGGAGTCATCAACACAAGTCGTCTGAACCTTGAAAAAGGCCAACTCGGTCCAAGAATTATTTATTAATAAGTCGTAGCCTATTGAAGATCTATCAAAATACCGACATCGCAAGATGAACCGACTTCGTTCCGACAGATGTGACACTCGTCACACAGATAGAGGCGCGCCCATGCTAATCATTGCCTAAAAAGTTCTTCTACGTCATCGCCGCCCCTAAGACGTCAAATCTTCATTAAAACGGGAATGATTTGTCTAGGGATGTGTGCCAAACATAACTATAAATAGCAGCTCCAATGACGAGAGAAGGGTTCGAAAAAAGATCATACACACCCATATATTCAACTCGGCTATCTCACTGTAAACCGACTTGAAATACATTGAAAAACCGACCTCTTTATACTGAAACCGACTTCAGAATATACAATAAAAATCACATTTTCCGTAATCTTTTATGTTAATTTTACATTGTTAACGTTGATTAAATCCGTTTATCAACAGTAACAAATTCCAATTTTAAGTCCAACATATAAGATTGTCCGATTTTCCGTAAAGATAACAAAGGCCACATTTTAAGGGCACCATTTATTGTTCTCGGATTTAAAAAAATAAAAATAAAAAAAAATACTTAAAATGGAATGTAATTAATGCTGACCAGATTTTGACCTACTATTTTAAAAAAAATATTAATTCTATAGATACACGTATTTGGATCATGCATGAACATAAAAAAATAAGATAGTCGAGCTCTACTGAATATTTTTGAGGCATTAGTCGAGTCTGTGGTCGTAGACACTACCCATATACACTGCAGGCACAGGGCATATAAGGATATGTTGACTAAAGTCCACTCGTAAGCCTCCTTTCCATTTTCTATTAAGAAAATTAATTAGGCGTAAGTCTGCCACTCACTTTCCGTCAGAAGCTTCCTTTCAATGGAAAAGAAAAACAAGTCCTCCACATGTCATTATACAAAAACATAAAATCAAAGAACAAATAAAAAAACAGAAAAAGTAATAACTCGCTATATACGAATACTTTTCCAGTTTTCCTCTTTGTCAAATTTTGGTACTTCCTCTCGACTCTCAAGTCTCAACAACAACAGATATCAACAATCCACATAAATATAAAAGTTCTCTTCTCCTTCCCCAATTCAAACACATTTTNTAAAAAAAAAAAAAATGAAACCCGGATTGGACTTAGACCCAACACTTTCCCTCCTAACCCTGACAGTCCTAATAATCCTATCGCTCAGTAAAATCCCAAACACCATCTCCCAAAACGACCAGCCTTACCAAACTTGCCGCCGGACGTTCGACTGTGGGGACGTGACGGAGATAAACTACCCATTCTGGGGCGGCGACCGCCCCGATTACTGCGGCCATCCGGGCTTCGGCCTCACCTGCCTCGACAACACCCTACACATAAACATCTCGTCCGCTCCCTACCGAGTCCTCGAAATTCAAAACAGCACCCAAACGCTGAGGATTGCTCGAGACGATTTACGGAGCACCTTGTGCCCGCAAACCCCTCGCAACACGACCCTCGATTTTTCCCTTTTCGAATTCTTCCCCGATTACGGCGACCAGAACGTGACCCTGTACTACGGCTGCGGCTCCCCACTGCCACTGGAGCCGCAGATCCCCAATCGGTTCAATTGCGGCGCCGGCGCGTGGGGATACTACCTGACTAGGAGGATGACGGAGCAGTTGAGGAACGTCACCCTCACGTGCGGCGTGAATATCGTGGTGCCGGTGAGCGAGCGGGCTGAGCGGGATCTGGAGGATCTGGCGGAGGGTTCATTGGAGCGAGCGATCGAGGACGGGTTCTGGATCCGGTGGCGGGCGGATTACGATAGGTGTGAGGGTTGTGTCGGGTCGGGCGGGTCGTGCGGTCGGGATCTGGGTTCCGGGTCGTTCGCTTGTTACTGCAGGGAGGGAACTCACGATTCCACCTGCAACGGCACGCGGAGTGAGGACGGTGAGTCATAATTCATTCATTTAATTTTTGCTCTCTTTTCTATAAGAAAAAAAATTGGAAAATTGTGAAATATGGTCCTTAATAACTATATAATTTTACGGTTGAATAAAGTGTATAATAAACCGCTAAAATTTTGGTTTAAGTTAATATTTTGTAATTATTTGGTGTTTAATTTTTGCTTATTTTTTTGAATTTTATGCATGTTCAGCGTGATTTTTATTAATTACTGATTTTTTTTTAAAAAAAAAATGATTGTACAAACTTTTCTCAAATTCCTACCATATCTTATGACTTTTCGAAAACGGAAAAAACATTTTTGGCGGCTTTATATTCAATTATATTCAAGCCGGAGAGGGTGAACACCAGCAGCCGATGTTGACATGATATCCATAAATTGTTCATAACTTGAGAGGGCATCCGACTAATTTCTTATAAAAGTTGATACTATATTTAACATATTGCATTAATATTGGTCAAATGATATTTTAGAAGACGTGCTTCAAGATTATTTAGGTCACTATCCAATTTTTTATGTATTAATTTAAAATGTGTTCGAGTCTGGTTTTCTTGCTTCTGATGATGAATTGCAGTAGTTTGTTAATTGATTTGTATAAATATTATTGTTTTGGAATCAAGTTTAATATTTGACATAAGTATTCTATTTGCAATTTAATTGATTTGTATAAACATTATTATTTTGGAATCAAGTTTTGTATTTGATATAAGTATTCTATTTGCAATTTCGATAAGTATGCATTTACTTTTGCATTTCTCAAACCAAATATTACCATACGAAACTTATATTATTTATTTTATTTACTAATTATCATATTTCTTTATTGTATTTCGAAAGTAAGTAACTTTTTTTACATGTAGTCCATTCTTCCTGATAAAATATACCTAATTAATCATTTTTTTATGATTTTCAAAATTACATCCTTAAAAATCTAAAAAAATCAAAATCAAATTAGTTGAATTGTAAATAATGTTTGTGTTAGACATATATAATTTATAAATAGAATTAACATGATTATTATTTTGATAATTTAAGGGTTAAAATGTGTGTCATTTTAAATAGTTATCAAGTTATTCATTATTTGTAGTACATTTATTTTTATAATTTCATAGTAAGAATATACACTTTTATTTGTAGAAAAAATCATGTTTGTTAAATGTGCAGTAAAGAGTGTCAGAATTGAATCAATATCGTAGACGGCCGAAAAAATTTCAATTAGTTGACCTTTATTTAAATGATAAAAACATGCTATTAAACTTGAGTTATTTATTATGTTAGAGTTAATTGTATTTTCTAGTTTATCGACAGATCGTGGCTTAAATTAATTCCCTCTAATATCCAGCATACTTTTTTTTAAACCCAATCCTTATTTTCAAGGACCCTGATGTCACATAGAGGGCTAAAGCCGCTGAAATTTGACCAATTTTATGGCTGATTCACACTCACGCACACTATAATAAAATAAGAGTTCGATTTTTCTTTTCCACTTCGCCTTTTGGTTTTTCCTCTTTCATTGTCATTTCTCAATTTCGTGAGATTTATGGTATTTCATAATATTAAAACATAGATTTATATAAGTGGGTCAACAATCACGCAGATATCATGTCTAGTTTCATGACATCTCAGTAATTCCTGTTTCAACGATCTTCTTCCTATTCCTTTTATTTTATCACGAGCTTCGGGTTTTCGACGTTATCAATTTAATAGAGATTTCTGTTTGGGTGACTGTTAGTTATATCCCGTTAATTGTAATTTGTTAACTATTGCAATCACAGTAAGTGTGTTTTCTTTTTGAACAAGAACCTAGTACGCTGTTTGCTTTGTGTTAATACAAGAAGTAATGATAATTGCAATTTAGTTGTGTACAATAAGCAATATATTTTTTTATAAACAAGAACCTACTACGTTGTTTCTTTGGAGTTGATACTAGTTTGTAACCTTATAGGGAATGCTATAATTAGACATGGTTACCGGTTACTTGGCCCGAAATCGAAATGAATCCAGTTCGATCAGACTCGTTGACCAGGGTCTGATCCCGTGCCCGGATTCAAACTGGGCCGATTCAAGATCATATGTATGTAATATATGACTCGACGGGTCGGGCCAGAGCTTGACCGGATCAGGCCATCCAGGGAAATCAGTGGTAGATTTTTTTTTTCTTTTTTTTGGGACGTGTCCCGGATCTCGAGTTGTGTACCTTAGGTACGGGCCCATTCAGGATGGGTGATTTGAACCCGACGATCAGGGCCCGGGCCCGCCCCAAAATTTGTTCATGTCTAATTGTAATCATATAAATTAAAATAGTGAATAAATATTGATTAGTATAAAAATAGTCTTGAATATTAATGTTAATTTTGATTTTTTTTTCTTTTATTTCTATGATTTATAATATTTCAGTATATGATTTATATGTTTATTTAACCCGTTATAAAATATATGTCATTTTAGAGTTATTATTTAGAATTAAGCAACATAAAAATTTAATATATTAAAACATTGTCAATAAGTTATAGTAAAAAAATACTTCTCTCTTACCTTATTCATACTTCATCACAATATAATTTTGTTACTAAATAAATCATGGTAAAATTGAAAAATTATGACAAATATTATATCATTAGGTTTGTCATCATAATTTTTAATAATATATATTATAAATTTATATCTTGATTTTTATTTCTCATCTTATAATTTTTATGGTAGTTTGACAGATGACTCATTGAGTTATCGTAATTTATAAAAATAGATATTATAAATATTTTGAATTCTTATAATCTAATACTTTACATGATCATTCGACAAATAATCTGTTGGTTTATATTTTAATACAATATATACTTGATTCTTGAAATAATTGTTTACTTATAGTTTTATATTGTTTTCTCAAATTATTTTTTCAAACCCAAGAGATAAACATATAAATTATCATTTTAGATTATTTATGCTAAATACATTTTTATTATACATATATTTATATTTTATTGAATGAATAACTTAGACTTTTTTTTTAAATCAGTATTAAATAATAAAATTTAATTACTCCTCACGGAAAATTCTCTCTCTCTCTCAAAACCCTCGCCCCCAAATCTCTTCCGTCTCGTTCGCTCCGATTTCAAGCCGCCGGCTTTCCATAGTTGCCATCTAGCTTTGCCGGCGGTCGTCGGCCCTTGGCCATTTGGCTCCCCCCTTATTTTCTGCTCTGCTACCTGTCTTTCATGGCGCTAGGCCTCATCTGTTGCGATCGGAACTCGTCTTTTCTGGCGCCGACTCGTAATTTCAAGGCGGTGGTGCCTATGTTGGGCGGTGGTGGAGCCGTGGAGCGGTTCTGGGGGTGGGATGCGCCTCAATTGCTCGGCGACCTAATTGGTTGGGCGATTGGGGCATGGCTGCGGTTCAACATCGTCTCCCCGCTGTTCTCGGCTTTTGAGGCGCAGAAGTCGTCGAGTTCCTTTCTCTACCAGTGGTGTTGGTCGGAGTGGGGATGCGGCGGTGCGGTGGCTGTAGGCAGCTTCCAGGCGGTTTGGGGTTGGGGCTGGGGCCGTGGCACTTTTGTCGTTTCGGGGCAATCTGATATTGCGGGCCTGGTACGGGGTGGCTTAGTGTTGTTCCGGGGTTAGGGTTTCGACACCGTTAGGCAACTGAGTGGTTTTGGGCAGTTTCGGGGTCGATACATCTGGCTGCGGGATTCACCATCGCTTTGTTTCCGCTGGTTCGGTTCGGTGTTGCTACTTTGGAAGGGCTCGATTAGTTTTGTTGCTTTTGTTTTGTTTTGTTTTGTAGATCTGTGTTTTAGTTGGTTATTTAGGTTGTGTGGTTGTTGTGTTTTTGGTTTGGGTCGTTGGCCTCAGTTTGCCCGAGTGTCACCTGTTGGGATCCGACACTTGGGCTTGGGCATTACTCTGTTGGGGTCTGTGTGTAGTTTGTTAGTTGTGCTTGTGTTTTACTCTGTTGGGGTCTTTGTTTTACCCTGGTGGGGTCGGGGTCGGGGTCGGGGTCGGTTATCTAGGCGATCTTTTAACCTGTCCTCCCAGTTTTTCAGTTGTTGGCTGCTTGTATTCAGCTGTTAGCTGTTTGTATTCAGCTGGTGGCTGACCTTTTACACATTTGTTATATAATATCTCTATAGTTTCGGGAAAAAAAAAAAAATTACTCCTCACGGCGGCGCAGTGCACCCGGGCAACCTACCCTCACTGCGACCGCATCACCAACCTTACTTACCCCTTCACCGCCGTCCGCCGCCCCTCTCACGGCGGCATTCGCCCCTCCTTCCCGGAAAACCCTAATCAACTCCCGACTCGACCTCTTCAGTTCCAACTTGTGTCCTCAATTTTCTCCGCCCGCCGTCCCGAACGGCTCCCTTTACTTTTCTCTACCGCTGCAGCGCGTTGGTCCTGCCGTACTGTCATTTCATATTTCCTTCCAGCCTTTTGCGCTACATTGACTCGTATTACCTGATTGGGGCGTTTACCCGGAGACCTTATTTTCCAGGTTTTGAGCACGAGCTGCGAGCAGTGGGGTCGCAAGTGTTCCTGATGGAGGGGTTAGAGTCAGTTATAAGGTCCCTCATGAGAGATCGTGTGTGGAGTGTATTAAATCGGGTGGGCAGTGTGAGTTCGTTTCTTCCTATAACCGATTAATATGTGTTTTCAGTGATAGGCCTTGTCCTGTTTAATTGGTACTTCCTGCCTGAAGTAGTCCGATGGCTGATGGGACTTTCAGAGTAAATGCTGGGATTTTCCTCTACAATGATTCTCGATAGGATGTGTTGTAGGGGTTTCAGGTTATTTCACTGACATTCAGCAAATAGTAAGTTAAACCATCTTTTTTATCAGAGTTGATGAATATTGTCTAGCTTTATTTGGTATTATATTGTGTGAAGTTGTGGTGCGCATTGATTATTATGTACATTCTTTAGTGCCACCCATTGGATTTGGCTTTGAAAGCACGGTACATTATGTAAAGCTTGTGTCTTTTGTTTTGGGTTCTCAGTTTCTAACCTTTTTTAAGGCGACTCAGAAACTTCCTTGTAGCTCTCAGTGGCTACTCTGCTTATGGCATTGGGATATTTCATTTTTATTGAATTTATTGACCAGTAACCAGCCAACAACAGTAGTTATCTTGGTTGCTTATTCTCTGAAATCTATTTGTTCCCTCCCAAAATGCATGACCAACAGGTTGTATTACATCCTTTTTCGCACTATATGTCATTAGCTCTCACCACACAAACTAACACTATTCCATCTCTCGCTGCAGCAGGAAACAGCAGTAACTCAAATTCAGGGATTCGTATTGGTACGATTTCATTCCGTTTCTTAAAAAAAGAAACTATTCTACAAAGCTTGTGAATTGAAAGCTGTCATTTTTTTTGTACCCAATATTCAGGCCTCCCAATAGGCGGTGCCGTACTTGCTGGTATTGGCGTGGGATTGTTAATTTTCTACCTTAGGCAGCGAAAGAAGCAGCATGTCGAGCGTCTCGGCTCTCAATCGAACCCAACTTCGAGCAAGGAAATCAGCACTCCCTCGAGCAAGCCTCTGTCTACTCATCCATCTACCAGTTTCAGTAAAAGTGCCCTTTCTTTCACGACGACATCAAATTCCGACCTAGAGTGGGGCAGCACGTACTATGGCGTCCAGGTGTTTGATTACGCCGAGCTCGAAGAGGCTACCGACAATTTCCATTCTTCTAGAGTCCTCGGCGATGGTGGCTTCGGCACCGTGTATTATGGTAAGTAAAACAATCCCTCTCTAGTAAATTGTGCCTGACTTGATGATCATTATTCATGCACATGATTAATTAATCACAGAAATGTATCTTCAGAATTTCCATTTTACAAGAAGATAGATAGTTTTTGTTGATTTAAATAAATGATTTAGGTCTTTGATTGTTTATTAAATAATTCGTTCAAAATGAGTTGTTTTGGATAACCATAGTTAATTTTGGAAAAAAAAAAGTGGTATGATTAATTGTTAGTGGAATTTTAAGAATGTGTTAATAGAATATTTAAAATAAAATGATTAAAATTTTGATTTGATGTAAAAGTAGGAGATAAATTATTGAAAATGATAAGTAGTTAAAAAAATCATGTGAGTAGATGAACAATGAATTAATTAAAGTTAGTTGATGTGATGTGTAAGAATGATTTGTTTGTATTATTTAATTATATGATAATGAGGTTGAGTTAAAATTGAGTTAGATTCTGAATATGAAATAAATGTGAGCAAATTAACTTGTAAACAATTTGTCCACAATCGAAACAGGAACACTGTCTGACGGGCGTGCAGTCGCCGTAAAACGTCTGTACGAAAACAACTTCAAGCGCGTGGAGCAGTTCATGAACGAGGTCAAGATCCTGACAGGCCTCCGCCACAAAAACCTCGTCTCCCTCTACGGCTGCACCTCCCACCGCAGCCGCCAGCTCCTCCTCGTCTACGAGTTCGTCCCCAACGGCACAGTCGCCGACCACCTCCACGGCCACCGTGCCTCGACTCCCGTCCCTTTGCCCGTCCGCCTCGACATCGCTGTCGAGACGGCCGAGGCCCTCGACTACCTCCACAAATCCGACATCATCCACCGCGACGTGAAAACCAACAACATCCTCCTCGACTCGGATTTCCACGTGAAAGTGGCCGATTTCGGCCTCTCCCGTCTCTTCCCGACCGACGTCACACATGTCTCCACGGCCCCACAAGGAACTCCGGGATACGTTGACCCTGAGTACTATCAGTGCTACCAGCTAACAGAAAAGAGTGACGTGTATAGTTTCGGTGTGGTTCTGGTCGAGCTCTTGTCATCGCTTACGGCAGTGGACACCAACAGGCACCGTCAGGATATTAACCTGGCGAGCATGGCGGTGAACAAGATTCAGAACCGGGCTTTGGATGAGCTGGTGGACGAGAGGCTCGGGTTTGGGACGGATGGTGGGGTGAGGAGGGTTGTGACGTTGGTGGCTGAGCTGGCGTTTAGGTGCTTGCAGCAAGAGAGGGAGATGAGGCCGTCGATGGGGGAGGTGTTGGCGGGGTTGAGGAGGGTTCGGGATGAGGGTTTGGGGGGTGGTGGTGGTGGTGATGACGTGGAGGTTGTGGACTTGCCGTTGAGGGAGCCGCCGTCGCCGGAGAGTGGGTCGGGGCAGAATTCAAGTGGGTGAGGTATTATTGTTCATTTGTTCTTTTCTTTGCTTTTCTAGTTTATGTGTTGTTATTATTTTATTTTGTTATATTATTTATGAGTATTTGGGTTGTGTGGTGGTTTGGCACTTGTTGGAATGTGTTAATAAGATGTTATAACTTACATAGATGGATTTTTAATTTTTTATAGTTTAATTTGTGTCTGTATTTATTTTATTTTTGGTCAAAATAATAAATGGAGAGGGGTATTGAGAGGGAGCTTACAGGGAATGTACATAGTATCTATCAGGTTTTGCTGCTGATGATGAGAATAGAATGGACGGTGTTATTCACTTATTCAATATTATGAATATTGTATGGATGAAAATAAATATTTTTGTAAATTTTTNTGGAGTGTTGGGGTTTGTTTGGGCCCCGGAGAGCTAAGGTCGCTAACCCACCCAATAGTACGAGAAATGTTTTTGTTTTAAAGTGGGTCACCTATTTGCAGCCGAGTGTAGGAATAAATTAATTGATGATGGGAAAATTGGGGATGGAAGCCTCAAAAGAGCCGCCCACACACTCAAACAAACAAACGGGTCCCCTCCCCTCTCCCCACCAATACAATCCATCCGTATTCTTAATAATTCCACTTTAACTCCCTCCATTTATGTCTCTTTTCTTTTTTCTCTCTCCCCCACTTTGCTTTGCATATCACAAACTCCCATATTTTGTACAGAGCGACGACTGAAAAAGAAAATTTCCAATTTTCATAGCCGTCCATTCCAAATCTCACTTTTTCTTCTCCTCCTAAGCACTAGTCTATTTTTCCTCCAAAACTATTTAACCCAATTCCATCTGTCTTACTGAATATAACTATAAAGTAGACAAAATGGCCACTCTTCACAAATTTAAGCTGCTGGCCACTCAGTGCGCAGTCGCTGGCAGCCCAACCAGAAGCCCGACCACCAGCCCCGTGATCCATCTCCGCCAGAGAAGAACCCTCAGGATGCTGCTCGGCCGCGCAGGAGGAGGCGCCGGAAGAAGGCTTCCGCCGAGATGCGACGGCGGCTCGCCGGATCGGAGGCGGAGCTTCGATGGGGTGAGGTCGCCGGAGAGGGGTAAGGAGTTGTCAGTCGGCCACAAGCTGAGGGATTTGTTCGTATCCTCGCCGCCGGATTTGGGGGAAGGAGTGTCGGAGAGTGGGAGGCGATTTTCGCTGCCGACAGGCGGCGGCGGTGACCTCCGGCGAGGCGGTGGACGGTCGATGCGGCCGCTGTCGGCGACTTTGCGGCAGCGGTTGTTGAGGAGAGCTTGGCGACCTGTTCTCGTCGCCATACCTGAATGAATTAATTGTTGATNGTCATGGAGGATCCATTATTATTTTCTTTTATTTATATTTTTAGTATATATTAATTGGTAAGCTTGGGTTTCGTTTACATTGTTCAATTGTCATGTGAAAAAAAACTCAAATTATTTCAAAATCGGAAAATATCAATCCGAAGTGAAAAGAAAACATCAAAATATAGTAAGCTTGTTGTTCGTTATATATTTCAATTGTCATGTGAAATAATTATTTTAAAATTGGAAAATTATCAATCCGAAATGAGAAGAAAACAACAAAATAGTAAGCTTGTCGTTGTTCGTTATAGTTTTCAATTGGCATGTGAAATAATTTGAAATTATCTCAAAATTGGAAAATTATCAATCCAAAGTGAGAAGAAAACAACAAAATCATTTTAGGAATATGTGGTTGATCTATAGTTTGAATGTGTTCTGGTGTTGGTCCCAAAAATAAAAGGGTTAATTGCCAAAAAAATCATAACCTTTTGCTTAATTGCAAATAAAACTCAACTTTTAAAATTTTGCAACAAAATCCAAACCTTTATTAAGTATTGCATAATTGTCTCAAAACTGAATTCCAGCTGACATGTCCGATCGGAAAATTGACGTGGCAGCAAAAATGTAATAGTCAGTGCCACGTCATCAGACACGTCAACTTCCAACTTACGCCCCCAACCACGTCACACTGCCCGTTTTCTTTCCCATTTTCTCAGAAAAAAGAAAAAAAAAAAAGAGCAGCAGGTGACGCCTTCTCCATTCCATCGGCAATTTCTTCTCCACCAATTCACCTCCAAATTTTGCTGCGAATTCATGGCTTGATTCACCACAAAAAACGAAATATATAAAACAGGCTACAAATATATATAAATATACACACAAGGTTCGGATACACACAAAAGAGCAAACAAATGACTACAAAAGAGGAAGGGAATATACTTACAGTGTGTGTACATGCTATGTATATATTTGTTCTCCATTTCTTCTCCATTTGCTTGCTTTTCCATTCCATCGGATCTGTTTGATTTTCCCGACGGCCAGCCACGACAGGTTCGACCACCCGCTGAGTCGTACCTTTGAATCGCCGCCAAAGCACAACGGTTCTCGTGAAGTCAATCCGTCACCGCACCACGCGCAATCCGAGCCTAGCGGCTGCCGCACGTCGCCGATTCGCCGAGCCGCCGCCGGGTTCTGCTCCCCTCCAATTTTTTCCTGTTCAGGCCGCCACCTCTGGCCGCCGACGACGGTTGTCGGGAGCTGTGCGCGAGGGCGTGGAGAAGAGGAAGGGAATTCGAGAATTTGAGGAAGGAAAAAGAAGAATTTGGGAAGAGGAGAATTGGGGATCTGACTGTGGAGAAGAAGAAAAAAAAAGTGACGGGAGAAGGAAAGAAAAGAAAGGAAAAGAAAAAGGAAAAAGAAAAGAAAAAGTGATTTTGCGTTCCACGTCATTTTTCCGATTGCCATGTCAGCATCGCTTCACCGGAATTTGATTTCGAGACAAAATTGCAACAATTAACAAAAGTTTGGTATTTTTATGCCAAATTGAAAAAATTGAGTTTTATTTGCAATTTGTCAAAAGGTTGAGATTTTTAATGCAATTAACCCAAAATAAAACTTCCATGTGGACGCTCTTATGAAAACAAGAATGTCGTTAATCAAGAAAAAATGTATTAAAAATTACTACCTCCTATTCTTTTTAAATGTAACTTTGGCTTTATTAACTATTTACCAAATAAATGTCGTTTTGGATCTTTTGTACATATTTTTTCATTATTACCCTCATTTAGCTAATAAATACACTATGTCTTTTCACATTCACTATTCATTTTTTCCCAAAACATCATTCTCTATTTTCATTAAAGAGGGTTATTATTGGCAAAAAAAATATTCTTAATTACTGTGCAACTTCTTAAAACGACACTTGTTATGAATAGGAGGAAATATATCATAACACATATTGATAAACTACTGCAGTTATGAATCTATGAGAGATTCTACCGTTACAGAACCATTTCGTCGGATTTGTAACCGTTAAATCATTATGTAACGGTTACAAATCTCGACGGAATGGTTCCTGAATCTATATATATATATAATTGTTGGCAAGCGATTTTGCTAAAGAACCAATAGTTGACTCCTTTATGGAGCCAACATCCTACATGGCAGGCCTACATGTCAATTTAAATCAATCTTTTACTAAGTCTATTTTATCTTTTATTTTTTTTTATTATTATTTATCTAAGGCTCCATCGACAGGAACAGAGAACAGCTCCATCGACGAGAGTGATTCAACTGAAAAATGCACAAAATCCCAATTTTCGACGGCGCGGGAAAGATGAAGTACGATGAGTTGTTGTTCGCCATGAGAACATGAAATTGGGTTACGACCCGAACGCCAAGTCCAAGGTCCGTCGAGGAAGCCCTAGACGATCGGGTCAGAAGAAGGCCAATCGACGCTGTAAGTGATCGAAAAAAAAAATTCAAATTTTCTGCTTTATTTTCTATGTGAGTTTAAGTTGTGTTGTTGAGTATCTTAATAAAGGTTTGCTATATTTTTCTCTTTCTGAAGAAAATTGGGATTTTCACATTGCTTTGTTGCATGATTTTTTTGCTACATCTATTTTGTTTATTTTGGTGAAAGTTTTCTCTGATTGAATAATGCAAACACCTTAAATAAAAAAAAAATAAAAGAAATTGAAGAGCTTGTATATGATAACCAATTCAATTAGGCTGAATTTGGGATTGGGAATTTTGGCAGGAACTAACAAGGCATTAGTCTTATCAGCGTCGTCGACTTGTTCTCGTTGATTTACGTTGTACAATTTACTTTGCGTTGTACAATTTTGTATAGCTGCAGATTGGTGAAACAAGATTCAACCTTGTTACTCATTGTGGAAGATTAGGCAGTTTAATTGTAAGATGCTGAAAGTAGTCCATACAAAATCTCTTAAGCAGATAATTTGTCTCCACTATAATCGTTATACTCTCCAATAATGTAATCGACATTTAAGATGGTGTATCCATTTTTAGGATTGTGGGGATGTATGATTGATAGTGCATAGAGTGGTTGTATAAGGGATGTATAACTTGTAACAGTGTGACTGCACTTTGTGAAACTCTAAACCAGATGTTTGTTTTATCAGAGTTTCAATGTACTTTTGTGTTAATCTAATGAGTTTATATTATTTTGCCATTTTTTTGCTGATTTAGTTATTGAGGTTTTTGTTGATGATGTTAGAAAATAGTTTTTGAATATTGCAAGAATTTCTAGTTCTAATGGGTGAGTAATTACATGTGGTATACTGCTTTTATAAATGAACCGAAAACTCGAAATCACATGCGAATAAACATAGAATATTCAACAAATACACATGCATGCTGAAACCATATTACATCATAGACATCAAAACAAAAGTAATAATCAAGAAAAAACAGTGGCGAAACCAGGATCCCAGCACGGGGAGGGCCCAATTTGTCTTAAAAAAAAATTTTCACGACAAAACCAAACACAAACACAAAAATAAATGCAAACTATTTAAATTATCGTTCAAATAACATTATACAAAATAAAAATACAATCTAGCTTCCAACCAAGGGGGAACTAATAAGATCGGCACGCGGTAACTGAAATCTTCGGGACGCCATGTTCTGAAATCTCTGCAAAATGACTTCATTTTCAATTTTGATAAAGATTTCCTTTTCAATGTAGCACACCAAGCTATCCGTCAAAAAATCCACTCCCATTTTGTTGCGCAAATCATTCTTGATAATCTTCATCGAGGAGAAAGCTCTTTCAACAGTAGCAGTTGCGACGGGCAAAACTAGTGCCAACTCAATGAGCCGATAAACTAACTTAAGAGCAGTGTGCCACTTTCTCTCAACCATTCTTTTTGCAAGGTTTCCAATACTTTGAAGATCAGAGAAAAATGCACGCTCATGTATTGTGACTATCGAGATATAGTGATTCAATTCTTCTTTCAGTTTGAACTCATTATCAAAATCATTTGGATATAATTGAGCGAGACGAAGCAGTCTTTCACGATCAAAGCTAGCGAAAGAATCTCTAGGATCAAGACAGACTATGCACGAAATAAGTTTCGTACTCAACTCTCCAAAACGATTAGCCATCTCTTGTAAGATAAGATCAACAACCTATTAAATTGAGAAAAATAAGCTAATTATTAACACTATAATAAACATAAAAAAATGTTAATATGAAATTAAAGAAAAATAGTTACCGGAAGAAAGATGTCTCGTCGAAAAAAGTGCAAATAAGTCTTTGGTTGGTCATCCACTTGTCTTTTAGATCTAGGCTGACCCGGTAAATGATCTTCCATATTAGGCACCAAAATGCATTTTTGAAAACAAAATTCCTTGACGGTTTCAAGAAATTCCTCCCAACCATCCTCCCTAAACTTCCCCAAATCGTCCTTCAACGTTCTAATCAAAACGAAGGCTTTACCAATATTTTGACTTTTTTCTTGTAAGGCCGCCGAAAGTACGCTTGTTTTTGCCAATAATGTCACCAACAAATAAGCAATGAATACAAATTCAAAAGTTGTTGATTTAGCAATCAAACCTCTAGCAACGCCTCGACTTTGGAAATCTGTGGCTTCACTCTCACTAGTATCAAGAACGTCTTGTACCGCATCCCACATTTCCAACATCTGCTTGATTGTCCTATAGTGAGATCCCCAACGCGTAGCACCCGGTCGAGCTAAACTTGTTTCTTGATTCAAGCCGGTCCCCGTAAAAATCTCACCACTTTGAATACGTTGTACAAGGTCATCGTAATGCTTTTGTCGAATAGCATCCATTCTTTTACATGAAGCTCCAACAAGATTCACAATCCTTACAAGATAATCCATAAAATCACTCACACACGTGTTCTCTTTTGAAGTTGCTACAACCACTAATTGAAGTTGGTGAGCAAAACAATGAACATAGTATGCGTGTTTATGTTCTTGTAAAATAAGAGTTTTAAGACCATTGAATTCACCTCGCATGTTGGAAGCTCCGTCGTAACCTTGACCTCGAAGCCTAGAAAGTGACAATCCATTTCTTGCAAAAAATTTCATCAATTGCACCTTTTAGAGAGTGTGCCGAGGTGTCACTAACGTGGACCACTCCCAAAATTCGCTCGATCATTTCTCCCTGATCGTTCACGAATCTCACGACGACGGCCATTTGCTCCCTTATTGAACTATCCCGAGCTTCATCGATCAAAATAGAAAAGAACTTGTCTCCAATTTCATTAATAATGACTTTCCTCACCTCTGTAGCGCAAGCATTGATGATTTCTTTCTGAATTTTTGAAGAAGTCAACTGATTATTCCCGGGAGCATTCAAGTTCATGACCTTCTTCACTTCTTCCTTCTCCTCACAATACCAATCCAAAATTTCAAGAAAATGACCTTTTTGTATTGAATCTTTTGACTCATCATGTCCACGAAATGGCAAACCTTCCCCTAAAAGCAATCGAACAACTTTCACAACCGCCGTTAGCCGAACGCGGTAGTCAATCTCCATTTGAGTTCCCTTTTGTGATAACACATAATCCACATTATGCCTTTGGTCTCTAAATGACGAACACTGAACCATAGCATTACGATGTGGACTGTTTAAACCCCCTTCATGCTCCTTGAATTTATTTAAAGCATTCTTCCAATTTTTAAAACCAACACTAGTAAAAGCATCATCTCCACAACGAGTATTAATCCTTTTAAACAAATAACATACTTGACAAAAAGCGGCATCCTTCTGAATACTATATTCGAGCCAATCATATTGCGTAAACCATGCCTTTTGAAATGATCTCATATTCTTACCAAAATTAGACTTCTGGAAATTGTGATCATGTGGTTGAAAGGGACCTTGTGCCAAGTATCGTCTCCTCAATTCATCTCTAATAGCAAAAGGATAATCATCAATAGGTTTTCGCAATCCCGGATCACCAACAATGTCATCTTCCGTCAATTCCACTTCTACTCGTTGTCTTTTGCCACTATCTTTATCATTCAAATCCACATTACTTGATGAAGATGAAACCGGCTTCTTCCATTAGGATACAAACTTATCCATTGTCAAAATTCAAATACCTAAAAATAGTAAAACAAATCAATAATTAACAATATTACAACTACTATTTACTATATAGAATAACAATTCAAAATAAAAACTAAAGTGACTAATTACTATCAAGCTCAATAAAATAACAACTCATACGGTCATGCCATTATAAATTAAAATAATAATTCATACCTATACTAAATTCATATATTAAATTATCAATTTTTTAACAAATTAGGTTAAAATTTTTCAAATAAATACACAAACATTAAAACAATAAACACTCATATTACTAATTTTCTAAACAAATAAACTTATAAACTTATAATTTATAAATTAAAATAACAATTCATAATTCTACAAATAAATTTATAAAAGCAAACATGAAGCAAAATTTAGGACAGATGAACAAATAATGAAATAACTACCTAAATGAGTGGGTAATCCGAAGAATTCTCGATCAAACAACCAAAATGAGTGGGTAATCCGAAATGACTTGTGAGCCGTGAGTGAATTGAGAAGGGAAGGGATGGAGGTTTTTTAATTTTTCACCACTGCTAAGTGCTGGCTTGCTGCGGAGGGATGGCTGATGAATTGGGGCAGGAATCNTCAATAATTTTTTTTTTTTTTGGGAGGGCCGGCGCCACTCCGGCCCTCAATGTGCTTTCGCCCCTGGGAATAAAGGAGTAAACATATGGAGATAATCATGGTTCTTCCTTATGAGCAATGTGCATGATTAAGTTAAAAACCAAACATACTTATTAAGTACATTTTCTGAAACCTATAAACAAGTCGGGATATCGAGGTCACAACATAGACGACAAACTGAGGTATAACCAAATTAACCAGTGCCTGAACCATATCAGTTCAAGCAAATCAAAAATTGAACCACTTTCCTGCAAGAGAAGCTTTTCTGCAAGACCATGCCTCATTGCTCGACGTCCAATGTGCGAAGAGCAGGGAAGGTCAGCGGAGAGACTTCAGCCAGCTTCCCGCATCTGACAAACGAGAGGCCTTGCAAATTAGGGAACTCAATGTTTCCGCACGAGCTGCCAGTGGGGCCGGTCCATTTTCGCCACACGGGAATATGGTTGAATGTAAGATTCTCGAGCTTTGGGAATGGGGTTACAATGGTGCCCGTCCCGTAAAACTCTGTCCCCACCTGTTTAATTTTGGGCATACCACTGACCAGCAGGTGTTTAATTGGATTCACCAAAGTTTTCGGCTTCCTGCATCGTATGTCCCCATTGTCTATAAGAATAAGACCCGTAAGCATGAGAAGAAAATGACGCAAGAAAATGACATCATATTTTCCCCGGGTCCGATTACTGTTTTCCTAAGCAATTCATACAATAAAAGTTTTGCTTGCTCGACAAGCTGACGTTGGTTAGGTCTTACACTAATAGTTGGGACATTAGTGGGAAGTGGAAGTTGATATATAATCTATAATCTATAACTCTCTTCAAAGGAAGAGTTGTTTCTTGAAACTTTTGAATTGCCAAGAATACTTTTTATAGTTTTAAGTTATTAATATAATTTTCTTATTAATGTTAGGAAGTTACAACATTTATTTATTATATTTTGTTTTTTATGCTTAATTATATCTTTAAGTTCTTACACACACAAAATATTACCTATGCAAATTCATATATTTTAAATAATAATTTATTCTTAATTATATTATTATGAATTAATCTATATATGACGTTAGGTTTCGATTTGGTTATTCTAAAGGTAGTTTTAAAATGTAAGAGAAAAAAATATTTTAAGATTTTTTAAATAAAATATATGATATTTCATACGTGTAAAATATATAATGCACCACTTAAAGTATCATCTTTAATTTCCAAATATCATATTGTTTACCATACAAAATTTTTGTTATATTATTAAAAAAAATTAAAGAGGAACAATTTCGTGAACATGCATATGTTTAAGAATGATTGATTCAACATACAAAATGTCAACTTTCTATGGAAAAAAGTTATTTGTTAAGTAAAAAAGATATGATCTTAGCAGAAATATTTGTTTAAATTATTCACTAAAACAATATGCATAATATGATTTAAGTTTACCTGCTAATAATATGTATACTATAAATGTTTATTTATAATAATGTGTTACATACATTAAAATAGCATTTACTGAATTGTAATATAAACAAAAATAGATAAATTACAGAAATAAAATATAATAACTAAAATTCTATTTTAAATCTTGAATTTCATAATATGTGTACTTATGAGAAATAGTTACAATTAAAATTATTAAACAAAAATAAATAGTAAATTTACTTTAAATTTTTTGTCTTTAGCATATCTTATTTATAAAATCATTTATAAATTAAATGTTTCAAATCACTTCTCAAAAGTAGAGAAAATAAACTACATAAAATATTGACGAAGATATAAAAATAATGTTGAGAGAAAAAAAAAAAATGAAAGAATCATCATTTTATAATTCATTACAACTAGACTTATTAAGTTTTTCACATATAGGATAATCTTGAAAATCCGCGAACGAAGAAGATAATGCATGTATGACAGTTTAGGAGATACAACAATAATTTATGTTGGACAAGATATATAGATAGATGAGTATCTTTAATCAATAAAGATGTTATTATTCCTAAGCTTTTTCATGTAATTTTTTTTTTGATATAATTACGACTTTAAAGACATTTTCAAATACTTATGTGTCTCTTATGTCATTATGACTAGAGAAAAATTATATATATATAGGTATTATGAAATATTATACTTGCAAATATAACTAAACTTGCAACCAGTATCATCAAAATAATTGAGAACGAATTATTCAAACATAATGTTTTAGCTTCTAATCAACAATAAAAAAGATCATTACAAATTATAGTTATAAAAAATTCGAGTTATTTTTCAAAGAGTATGATGCAAAAGGATGACATTAGAAAACTATATTTGATGACAATATTAATGATCGTTATATTAAGCAAATGTAGGGAAAATAAACTATATAAAAAAAATGATGAATATATAAAAATAATATTAAGATAAAAATAAAATATGAAAGAGTCATCATTTTATAATTCATTTAAACTGGAATTAGTAAATTTTCACATTTAGGATAGTCTTGAGAATTCGGGAATGATGATAATGGATGTATGACAATGTTAGGAGATGCGACAATAATTTATGTCCGAAGAGATATATAGATAGATGGGTATCTTTAATCAATAAAGATGTTATTATTCCTATGTTTTTTCAAGTAAACTTTCCCTTTAAAATAATTACGACTTTAATGACATTTTCAAATATTTATGTATCTCTTATACTTGCAAATATAATTAAACTTGCAACCACTGTAATCAAAATAATTGAGAACGAATTATTCAGACATAGTTTGTTAGCTTCCAATTGACAATAAATAAAAAATAATATTATAAACTATAGATATAATAATTTTGAGTTATTTTTCCTAGAGTATGATACAAAAGAATGACATTAGAAAACTATATTATGATGACAATAATAGTGATCATTATTTTAAGCACATTGAAGATATCTGTTTGTCCTGTTTTTGTTATCTTTTTCTTGATTGGTTTATAGGTTTTTAGCCCCCGGTTTAGGTCTTTTGATAGGATTTTCGGTCATGCAGTCGTTTATTTCGTGTTTTTGCTATTATTATGTTACTTTCGTATATTCGTTGGTTTTCTCTGTTTTTCGGGTATTTTCTTGTTCTTGGAGGTGTGCAGGTTCGGATTTTTGACCAAGTATTGGAAGTTATGAAGCTGAGTTGTCCCAGTTTTACAAATCACCTGTGAGCCTTCCTAATGCCACGCTAGAAGATCCCTTCCAGACCGTCGCGCCGGGCCCTCGCGCCGTGACACCCTTAACGGGCCTTCAGACGGACAAGTTTCTCTCGCCGCGCCGCTACGTCCCTCACGCCGCTACATTTCCCTGCTCCACGATGATTGCCACGCCGCGACGATCAGCACGAGCTTACAGAGGCTCCAAGTCCTTCCAGCCCTCGTGCCGTGCAGAACCCTAGCGCCGCTACGAGATTGCCGCCGCGCCGTGTCAGACCCCCCGCGCCGCTACGAACTCTCTCTTCACGCCGCTGCACTTCTCTCCTCACGCCGTGACCACCGTTGCGCCGCGCGGCGGCAGGCTTCGCGCCGCGGCGTCTGATCTTGTGAATGCTGAAACTGTTCGCTATTATGTAGGATCGGGCATAGGGTTTATTTTTCATTCTGCACTTTTCTTTTCTCTCTCGTTTTTCATCGGACAAAAACTGGCTCTCTTTATCTTTAGCTTATTTTTGAGATTTTTGGAGTGACACCCAAGGATTTCATCGTGGATTTGGATTGTGCTTAAGATTCCCACTTTTTTATTTATCTATCGTAAGTTTTCTTCTCATTTAACTATGAGTTTGGATTATTTACTGTATACAATACTTGGTGTTCATCTTGGCACGAGTGGCTAAATCTTTGAGCTAGGGATAGGGGATGATTACTCGTATTTGTGTGTTTGCCTTGCTCATGATTTTTGTTCGATCTAGTAGGCAAGAGAAACTCTTTTTATGAGGTGTGTAGCTGGACTTGTAAACTGCTAATACAAGAGTTCTGCATCATGCACCTTGTATTGCGGCTTAGACCGGTTCTAGAAAGTCATGTCGAGACGTGGCCAGGCGGTGACAATTGAGAGGTTGTCACTGAGCATTCCTAAGCCAAGACCCGGACTTCGCCTCCCGTCAAGCCGGATAATAATATTCAATCAAAGCGGTACTTTGAATTACAATCTCCACCATTCACACTTCTTTGCTGCTGCTGATAGAAATACCAATAACAAAGGAAAGATCTATTCGAGTTGAATTCAACCTAGGGTTAGATGTTTGATCGCCATCCTGACCTATTTAATTGGCTTGTAGAACCGAAAGGGGAGAAGTCGATTGATCTAGGCTCGATTAGAGTAGGCTTGTTCGTGATTGTATTGCCTATGTGTTGTTTGATTGGTTTGATTTACCGTCTATGTTTTCCCTCTTGTTACGAGCAGTTATTGAGGATAATCTCTAGACGTGTAGGTTGATCGAATTATTCAACTGAGCAATCTTAGTTTGGTATTGGCATTGAATTCGAGAGCAATCATCCCTGATTCCCTAGCATTTCCATACTGATAAGTAACTCGTTTTAAGTCATTTATTATCATTCGTTTGCGTTATCTGAGAATTAGTAGTCGATAATTAAAAATCAAAATCATCGTATTAGAGTGTTTAGGAAATTAATTTCTTCTTCTTGTGATTGAATATACGTACGAAATAATCCGGCTAACCTTCCTTGCGATACGACCCGGGGACGAATCCTTCGATTCTACTCCGGTAAAAATTATTACAACAAAATGGCGCCGTTGCCGGGGAAGGTTTAGGACTTATTTTGTGCGCCTATTCACTTTGTTTTCAGTGTTTCTCTTATTTTTGTGATTTCTTGTTTTGTGTGTTTCTCTTTGTTTCGTTTTTCGTGATTAGTTCTAGTGTTTTTCTTATTTTGTTTTTCTTTGTCTCTTTCCTATCTATCTGGTGCCCGTGACGTTTTTGTTGTTTTTGTTTATGCGTACCAGAAGTGGTCGTGTAATCATCCCGAATAACGAATCCATCCAGAGGGACCTCCAAGAACTGTTGGCTAATCTTGCCCCTGAATCTTCAGACTCAGCCAACCGGGACTCAGATAACCTAAGAGACATGGCTGACGAGGAAGTGAACAACCCACCTCGCCATCTTCTTCGTGAATTGGCTCAACCGATAATCGGGCCAGTAACTTCGTGTATCCG